TGTCAGTGCACACCTGTGATCCTAGTACTCTGGAGGCTGACACAGGAGGCTCTCCATGAATTCAAGGCCAGCCTGAGCTACAATAGTGAGCTCAAGGTCTGCCTGGATTACATGTTAAGGTAGACCTATCTCAAAATATTTATTTTATTTTATTTTATTTTGTTTTATTTTATCTTTTAGAGACAGGGTCTCACTATGTAGTTCAGACTGGTCTTGAACTCACAACTATCCTCTTGCCTCAGCCTCCCGAGTGCTGGGATTACAGGCATACACCACTGTGCCTGTCTTAATATAAATAAATAAACAAAAAACATAAGATATACAATTAAGAAAGTGCCTGTGAACATATATTTTCATAATTTGATATCATATCAATTGATTTTTTATTTATTTATTTATTTTTGTCTTTTTTCAGGCAGGGTCTCGCTATGCAGTTCAGGCTGGCCTTGAGCTCACAACGATCCTCCTGCCTCAGCCTCCCGAGTGCTGGGATTACAGGCGTACGCCACCACGCCTGGCATTCCTTATTTATTTTGAATGATTTTAAATCTCAGCATTTCTAAGTAATTCTGTTGAGTTTTCTAGAAATGCTTGTTTTCCTTGCACAGTGGTTGGAAAGTATGTTAAAAGCACTTTTCAAAAGTGAGGAAGTGTCTGTTGGAAGATTACAGGGAGTGTCAGTCACCTTGCTGGTTGACTTCTGAGCTATCCTGACCCGTGGAAAAGGACAGCAGATCAACATGAAGGGATTTCTACACAGTAATATATTTGGTTACTTTTGTAAAAAAAATTTTGTTCTTATTATGAAAGACCTTCAAAGTCTATTCTCTTTCCTAGCTCTCTCAACACTGATGATTCTATAGACTGACCCTGACAGTTTTGTGAACCAATTTCCAGGCTTTCTGTATGCACATGTAGGCTAGTTATAAATATATGTATTTATTGTTGTTTTGAAAATGGTACCATATGCTGTTTAATTATTTTTTACCCTCTCGGTATGTATTGCAGAACATTCTTCTGTGTCCGAATCTATAGAATTAAGGTCCTGAGTTCTTTCCAGTACAAAACAAACAAACAAACAAACAAAAAAGACAGACAGGAGCTTTTATTTATTAAAAGCTTCCATCCTCTTGATAATTAGAGTCCTGTTCTTTGTTTTGTTTTTTTTTGTTTTTTTTTCCAGTACCGGGAATTGAACTCATGACTTTGTGCTTGCCAGGCAGGCGCTGTGCCGCTGAGCTAAATCCCCAGCCCCCTAGAGTCCTGTTCTTACTTTTAAAAAGAAACAAAACTGTACTGAAGCTTAATAGGTCTTGCATCTCCTTAGTCAGGCAGTGTCTCAAGGGTAACGGAAAAGCTGAGCAGCTCAGAGAGCTGGAGAGGCCGCACTGCTCCTGGTTAGCTGTCCCCAGGAAGTTGATTGGATTAGTTCATTTCAGTAACCCAGTACTCACGGAAGAGAGAAATGACAGAAGGATTTGTGCAAATCAACCACAGATGTAAAAGAATCCAGTAACAAAGCATCCAAGAACAAAAAGAAAATGTAGTATGAAGGCTCCTACTTTTAGTACATAGTCTTCAGGGTGGAGAATTGCTTGGTAAATGATTTTTAAAAGGAGCAAATGTTACAAAGTGGGCATTTAAAAAAGATTGTGCTGGCTGAATGTGGTGGTGCATGCCTGGGAGGCTGAGGCAAGAGGATCGTTGTGAGTTCAAGACCAGCCTGGGCGACATAATGAATTCAAGGCCAGCCTGAACTACACGGCAAGACCTTGTTTCAAAGCCCTCTCCAAAAAAAATCTTACAAATAAAATTTTTCTTCCTTATTTATTTATTTA